ATAGCACATCTGTTCTGTAACGACTGAATGTTCGAATGGGTATGGTTTCATCCTTCCATAAATATTTTTTATACTTTTTTGACATGATAAAAGATCAGATATTACACGAAACTTTTTTTGTAAAATACTTGAAATAGAGAATTAATGTGGATTTGTAGCAACAAATGCTGTTATCAAATAGTTTTAAAATAAAAACAGTACCATAATGACGATTCAATAAAACTGATTAGTTCATTCTATAAAGAGTATTGTAGCTATATATCTACACACTGGAAATCGATTCATAAACCACCATGCAACAAAATCAAAATATAAACAAATTGGAGAATTTTTCTAATCACGGTTACGGCTACCTAATTTCCATTTTTGCAAGCTGTTAATTTTACATTGAGTAAAATAACCAAAAAAATAAATGTTAACCATTCTTATTCAAATATTCGGATAAACATTGAAAAATTATGTAACAGTTGTAAGCGCAATATTTTGGAGGGAGCCAGATAAAAAATAAATCTAAATGTATTTTCAAATATGCATCTGAAAAGGTTCCTAAAACAAAATTATTATTTTTTTTTCAGTATTGCATTCTTTTTCATTTTGTTTACGATGAAATATTTAATGATATTGCCTTTTTTTGTTTGTATACAAATTCGGGTGTAGCATATTCAAGTCTCAATCTCAGGCCACCCAACTAACCAATCAAGAAATCAATCATTTTATATCGATTATCGCAAATTTTCAAATCGAGACAAATAGCGACCAACTTGACTTAGCGTCTGAATAACGAGCACGTTTTCAGCATAAGCCTCGCAATCGCATTTATTTACTACTCCGTAAGAATATGTATAATGGAGAAAAAAAAAATGTTCGTTCTTGTGTTCTTCTACGAAGAAAAGAAATACTCCGTATTAAAGTTGAAGGAAGCAGTTAAAAACTCTGATCTACAAATGATGAATCTTCACACTTGGGATACGAAAAAGTCTGTGGAGACGAAGTGGAGAGATGGAGTGTATCCAGCAAATTTTCTACAATTTGGAGGTAAGTTTCAGATAGTTTATATTTTAAACGGTCTTTGTGTGCCATATTTCGTGATCTTTTTGCTTTGACTAAATAAAGAATTTGAAATCAACTCGGAATAATGCAATATGAAAATTATTTACGTTAGCAACGAAATATTGTGTAATCTATTAGAATGTAAATTTTTAAAAGTTTTTCAGAATCTCCTTAGATTTGAATTTATGCTTTTCCCAAGACAGTATTCATTATGTTACTGTACCTTTAAATGTACGTTTGTTTTTTTTAAAAAAAAGATAATTTTAATTGAAAATATGTAATATTTATAACAGCTTAGATTTAACTAAGGCCATGGTTTGACTATTTTGGTGCCGATTTCTGTGATTTGGTAACCCTCTCCTATCAATTTACTAGACTTATTCTCGAGAAATAAACTTATTAATATATATTTAATATTTGTGATAGAGGCCCTAAAACCAGGATTTGAATGTTAAACTGATTTATGTAGTATACAAATTTCTCATCCAGGAGTAAAAAAAAAAAAATTATACAATTCTTTTTTAGAATTTTTTTTGTAATTGATTTTAATTTTCAGAAAATAGAAATGATATGGAGTTGCTGATTGATGGTTTGGTCGATGGCAGTATTACTTCTGAAGAAATTCCAGTTTTGCAAGATGTTGAAGGCCTCAAAAAACGGTCCCGCACACATGTTCAGGAGGAAGCCGTATCGGAAACTGTTGAACTTCAGCAATCTAAGCGGTATGTATATTAATTTCATCACAATTGTATTTTAATTTATTCGGCCTTGCATCATTAAGAACTCTGCTTAATGCAAATTTTTGGGTTGAAATCTACAAGTTGGAACACACTCTTAGTAAAACGGCGCCAAGTCGCCAAAGCAAGATGGTAAACAAACGTGCATCGGTCACAGTTAAAAGTTAATCTTTTCTCGAATCCATTGCGTTTGTTATTTGTCGTTGCACTATCTCCCGTTTTAAATGTAGAATTTCAACAGAACTACTAGCTTTCCTAGCTCATTGAATGTACAGAATCTGTTACTTTTAATTATTCTAATGAGGCAGTAAAAATAGCGCTCGCGATGCCTGCGGCATCTGAAGTGGGCACCGGGCAAATTTTTTTAACTTAAAAAAACATCAGCGGCTTCGCTTTCAGCAAAGTGGGATCCTAGTAGCTTCGCTAGCTTAGTGAATGTACAGAATCAGCTTCTTTTAATTACTCCAATGGAGCAGCAGAACATTTGCCCTTAGTAGCGTTCAAAACAAGTACAACTTCAAAAATTCCATGCAAACGATTTTTATTACAAGGCAAAGAAAAAATCTCTCAATTATATGATCGGAAAAATATATAATCACTAAATGAACCCAAGTTCAATTTGTCATTTATTTACTAATTGAAATCATACTAATTAAAATACATTTTATTATTTAATTAAATATTTTAAGTTATATAAAAATCCGCGTAGTATGTAAACAACTCAAATCACGCAAAACGCTTGCCATGACGTAAGCAACCTAGCCGATGGGTTGCCAATGGAACTAATCCGCTCGATTCCTCAGGTAACCAGATTGGCGATGAAATCGGTGTGTTCCAACTTGTAGATACCAACCAATTTTTGAATTTTATTATAGCGGAGCTCCATTCGGGTACATTTTTAAATGGGAGGAATGTTTATATCTTATGTCATGTTGAAATTTGTTGGAGGGTCCATTCTATGGTTATGCATGTAACAAACAAAAACTTTGAAGCTTTATGAATAATGTTGAAAGTGTACTTCAGTTTTTCATGTTAAATGTCATTCGAGTATGGTAAATAGGGTATCTGGATTATTTTTATGTACCTGTAATTTGACTAAGAAGCTTATGAGGAAAGTTTTTCTCAAATGCTTTTGTTTTGTAAAAATGGGATTATTTTGCAACACAATCACAGTTTAGGGCACTTTTCTACTACATTGGTTGTTCTGCTTAGGACTATTTACACAATTTGACACCTAAAAAATAAATTATTTGACAGTTTGCTGAATAATAGTTTGTTTTTAATCTAAAGTGATGTAATATATCCTTCCATATATATATATATACATTTACTATAGATATTATTCCTTTTTAGGCAGAAGCTGGCAGCTATTAAGCGCTGTAGGAATCTGAAGGAGCAAATTATCCTCAGCAAGGTCAAGGAAAATATCCTGGGACATTCGGAAGTGAAAACGTGTTCTACTTGTAGTTCTTTAAATTTGGAACTAACTGTTTTAAAGAAACAGGCAACAGAACTTGCTGGAGAATTACAGTCTAAAACTGAGGCAGTTGAATATTACAAAATGAAGTACAGAGATCTTAAAAAGAAATATAAGCTCAGTAAGAAAAACAAAGAAAAAGTAGAAACTGAAAATCCAGATCTTGTCAAAATAGGACAGCATTTACACATTGACAAGCGTAGACTTGCTCTTTGCCGTGTTACTGACTTCAGTAAATATACTTGTGACTTAATGGACGTTGTTTTTGGAAGGGAAAATCTAGCAACCAGTGTCTTAAGAGGTATAAAAGGAACAAGCAAAAAGGTCCTGGATCCAAACTATGTTTCTGATATTCAAGGCCATGTTGCTTGTAAATTCAATGTTAATGTGTCTCTGGTACGAGCAACTATGCGAAACAAACTAAATTCGGCTTCGAAAGCTGTGAAATGTGAGAAAATGCAATAAATTCTTTGAATTGTGTGGTATCTTTCTTTGTCTGTATTTGCTCTATTCATATATAGGCTGTGAAATGCAAGAAAATGTTATAAATTCTTTTTGAATTGTGTGGTATCTTTTGTTTGTCTTTGCTGTCCTGTTATACAAATTAAAATTAGAAGAGAGGAATGCAGGTAAGTGCAATTTTTGGAAATTTTAGCATGCTTTAAAAGTATTTACTTTGCTTTATTATGTAATGTATTCCTTGTTATTATGATAAGAAACTGGAAAAAATTTATTTTAGTTGGTGAAAAGCATAAATCAAAATTGCTAAATTTGTTCCATAAAAAATAAATTAATGGATTTTTAAAAACTTGATAGCAACGAAGGTGTTTTTAGAAATTTAATAATTCCAAAATAATTAGTATAATTTAGAAATTATATATTTATATGTTGAAACCCATTTAAAAAGCTAAAATTTCTGAGACCTTGATTCTATTTTTCCCATTCGATTCGTTAATCCACCTAAAAGTTTAAAGAGTTGATCAATGAAATGAGATTTCATGAACCCACAGTCCAAACTTTTATGTAGGTGTGACAAATTGAAAGTTTCAGGTTTGAAATTCAGAATGTGTGACGGATATCAAATCAGGTATACCAAAAACAGCATTGTTGAAATTAAATAATAGAGTAATTTTTAAGTCCGTGACATGAGAGAAACCATATTTTCTCCCAGCTAAATATGAACTGCAGTTAATCTATAAAAAAAGTGCAGTTGAGAGACTGCGGTGATTTGGCCGATTCCACTACAGTTTTTTTTCAGGTGGATATACTGCAGTAAATTTGCAGTTTTACCACCTCAAAAAAACTGCAGTAAATTTGCAGTTTTATCCACCTCAAAAAAACTGTAGTGGAATCGGCCAAATCACCGCAGTCTCTCAACTGCACATTTTTTATAGATTAACTGCAGTTCATTTTTAGCTGGGCAGCGCCTTAGTCCGCTCGGCCATCCTGACTTCTAGTAGAATCCAGAAACATATAAGTTTATTTTAAATGCAGAGTTTGAGAAAGATTGTACAACTAGAAATTAGAAGGAAAACAAAATTTGAGATTCATGTCGAAGTGGGATTCGAACCACGCCCACAAGTGCGGATCTGCGACCTGAAACGCATTGCCTGGAGAGCTCGGTCGTTCTAATGTCTTTTTAGAGCCCAGTAACGGATAAGTTTATTTTAAATAGAGAGTTTTGAGAAAGATAATGTACGGCTGGAAATTAGAAGGAAAATAAAATTTCATATTTATGTCAGAAGTGGGATTCAACCCACGCCACAAGAATGGACTGCGATTCGAACGCAGCGCCTTAGACCGCTCGGATATCCTGACTTCTTGTAGAATCCAGAAAGATATAGTTTTAAATGCAGTGTTTCAGAAAGATTATGTACGGCTGGAATTTAGAAGGAAAATAAAATTTCTATTCATGTCAGAAGTGGACTCGAACCCACGCCCACAAGAGTGGACTGTGACCTGAACGCAGCGCCTTAGACCGCTCAGATATCCTGACTTCTTGTAGAATCAGAAAGATATAAGTTTATTTTAAATGCAGAGTTTGAGAAAGATTATGTACCGCTAAAATGAAAATAAAAATTTTGTTTTAATGTCGTGTTAAGTGGTTATTGTCAGAAGTGGGATTCGAAACCACGCCGCAAGAGTTGACTGCGACCTGAACGCAGCGCCTTAGACCGCTCGGACATCCTGAATTCTTGCTGTGGCCCGAAACTCATAAGTGTAGTTTAAATACAGACTTTAAGAAAGGTCATGTACGGCTAGATTTAAAATAAATTTTGTTTTAATGTCAGAAGTGGGATTCGAACCAACGGCCCAAGAGTGGACTGCCACCTGAACGCAGCGCCTTAGACCGCTCAGCCATCCTGACTTCTTCTAGAATCCAGAAACATATAAGTTTATTTTAAATGCAGAGTTCGAGAAAGATTATGCACGGCTAGAAATTAGAAGGAAAACAAGATTTCAGATTCATGTCAGAAGTGGGATTCGAACCTACGCCCACAAGAATGAACTGCGACCTGAACGCAGCGCCTTAGACCGCTCGGCCATCCTGACTTCTTGTAGAATCCAGAAAGATATAAGTTTATTTTAAATGCAGTGTTTCAGAAAGATTATGTACGGCTGGAATTTAGAAGGAAAATAAAATTTCATATTCATGTCAGAAGTGGGATTCGAACATACGCCCACAAGAGTGGACTGCGACCTGAACGCAGCGCCTTAGACCGCTCGGCCATCCTGACTTCATGCTGCGATCCGAAACCGATAAGTGTAGTTTAAATTCAGACTTTAAGAAAGATTATGTACAGCTAAAATGAAAATAAAATTTTGTTTTCATGTTAGAAGAGGGATTCGAACCCTCGGCCACAAGAGTTTTCTGCGACCTGAACGACCCAGATAGCACGTAAGTTTGCAGCAAGTTTGATTTTGACTTGTCATGGCAAAATTTGACGCGTCAAACTTGAATCGAACTTGTAGCAAGTTCGATGTGACAATTAGCGCCACCTCTTTGCAAATCAAACTTGCAGCAAGTATGCAAAACAAGCTTCCTGCAAAGATAGCACAATAAAGAGATAATTATCTTTGTCTCTGTTTTAAAAAACATCCGATTTTTAATAGCATCTCCTAGACCGTAATTCTTTTTTATTAATTCAATAAATCAATGATAATTTGTGAAAAAAATAACTTTTTTATAAAAAAAAATTTTGAAGCATTTTCCATCTTTTTACTAAATATATCACTCTCACTGTAAAGAAAACTATATCGCCTTTTTCTTTTTTTATTTTTTTTTTGAAATTTTATCGTTTATAAACAAAATTAAATCTAAAAAACAGTAGGTGTTTGTTGAAAAATAATAACTAGACATTTTGTCCCATTTTAAAGTAATTACTTTTGAACTCTAATTTCATAATTTATTCTACTAGCAAAACGTAGTTATTAGCGAAAATCGCTCTCTCTTTGACTTCAAATCGTATTCTCAACTCAAAAAATTAATGAAAACCAGAAAATAGTTTAAAATAAATCGTATACGAATCGCATCGAACGATGTTTTAGCGAAATCTATCCTCTCCTCTCAGAGTTCAGCTGGCTCAACGGTTAGCGTCCCCGCTTCGGAACCGGGAGGTCGCGAGTTCTATCCTGGGTTGTGTTCGTGTTCTGTTTTTGCTATAATTTGCAATGAGTTTGACACGGCAAACTTGCTGCAAGTTCGTTTCATGGTGACTTCGGAGCTTTCGTTAACTTGCTGCAAGCTTGCACTCTTGTCATGACAAATTTGTGGCAAACTTGCACTCTTGTCATGACAAATTTGTGGCAAGCTTGCTGCAAACTAAAATTGCTATCTGGGGAAGCGCCTTAGTCCGCTCGGCCATCCTGACTTCTTGTAGAATCCAGAAACATATAAGTTTATTTTAAATACAGAGTTTGAGAAAGATTATGTACGTCTAGAATGAAAATAAAATTTTGTTTTAACCGCGTAACGTAACAGCCCGAGAATACTCGTCCATCGAATTATCGAAATTTTAGTCTTATAAACTAAAATTGAATCATTAATTAGCTTTATAATTTGACACAAAAAATGTGTAGGATCCATAAACATCTTAATTATCCTATGCCTTCTTAGATGAATGAGAACGACAGCCTCTTTCCAAAACAGGAGGGGTCATCTTATTAGATAGCAAAGAAAACTATTCTGTTAAGTGGTTATTGTCAGAAGTGGGATTTTTCGTACATTATCTTCTAAAACCCCACATTTTAAAATAAACTTATCCTTCGGGCTCTAAAGACATTAGAACGACTGAGCTCTCTGTGGCGCTGCGTTCAGGTCGCAGTCCGGTATGCAGATCTGAATCCCACTCTGACATTAACTGAAATTCTTGTTTTCCCTTCTACTTAGCCGTACATAATCTTTCTCTCACCCTGCATTTAAAATGATCTTGTATGTTCTGGATTCTGCACAAGAAGTCAGGATTACGGAGGGTCTAAGGCGCTGCGTTCAGGTCGCAGTCCACCTTATGTCTTCTTGTGGGCGTGGGATCGAATCCACTCTGACATGAATATGAAATTTTTTTCTTTAAATCAGCTCGTACATAATCTTCTGAACACTGTCATTTAAAATGAACTTATATATTTCTGGTTACCAAAAGTAAGTCAGTGAGGCTGAGTCGTCTAAGGCTGCGGTTCAGTCGAGATTCTTGTGGGCGGTGGTTCGAATCCCCTTCTGACATAAATATGAAATTTTATTTTCCTCTAATTTCCAGCCGTACATTATCTTTCCCCAAACTCCTTAGAAAATAAACTTAATTGCTTACTGGCTCCTAAAAGACATTAGAACGGTACGGTCTCTCCAGGCAGCTGTTCAGGTCACCAGTACGCACTTGTGTGACGTAGAGTCTCGAATCCCACTTCTGACATAATCTGAAATTTTGTTTCCTTCTGCATTCTACCGTATATACATAATCTTTTCTCAAACTCTTATTTAAAAAATAACTTTATCTTTCTGATTCTACAAGAAGTATCTGAGGATTGCGAGCGTGGTCATAGGCGCTGCGTCTCAGGTCAGTCCAAACTCTAGTGGGCGTGGGTTGAATCCAGTCTTCTACATCAATAAAATTTTATTTTCCTCTAATTCAGGCTGTAATAATCTTCTCTGAAACGTCTATTTAAAATACATTTTCTGGTTTCGTCGCACAGAAGTCAGATTACTCGAGAGGGTCCTAAGGCGCTATGCTCAGTAGTCCCACTCTGTGCGGCGATCGGGAAATCTCCTTGTCTGAAGGTGAAATTTTATTTCCTTCTATCCAGCTCGTACTATAATCTTTCTGAAACACCTGCATTTTAAAATATACTTATATGGATTCTATAAGAAGTTAGATGGCTGAGTGACCACAGTGCTGCACTAGATTGCAGTCTATTCTTGTGGCGTTCATCCTACTTGATATAAATATGAAATTTTATTTTCCTTTCTAATTTCCAGCTGCTGTACATTATTTCCCCAAACTCTCTATTTAAAATAAACTTATTCTGTTACTGGGCTTTCCTAAAAAAGACATTAGAACGGCTGAGCTCTCCTCAGGCGCCGCGTTCAGGTCGCAGTCCGCACTTGTGGGTAGACTGAACTCACCTGACATTAATCTGAAATTTTGTTTTCCTCTAATTTCTGTCAAGAATCTTTCTCAAACCTGCATTTAAAAATAAACTTATATCTTTCTGATTCTACAAGAAGTCAGATGGCTGAGTTGATCTGCTGCGCTGCGTTCAGGTCGCAGTCCATTCTTGTGTATGTGGTCTGAATCAATTCTCTGACATGTGAATCTGAAATCTTGTTTTCCTTCTAATTTCTAGCTGCACCCTTTCTCGAACTCCTGTATTTAAAATAAACTTATATGTTTCTCTGGATTCTAAGAAGTCAGGATGGTTGAGTTGGCCTGCGCTGCGTTCCAGGGTGGTATCCACTCCTTGGCTGTTGGTTCAATCCCACCTCTGACATTAAAAACAAAATTCTTATTTTAAATCTAGCTGTACATGACCTTCTTAAAAGTCTGTATTAAACTACACTTATGAGCTCTCTGGTCCATTGCAGTAAGAATTCAGGATGTCCGAGCGGTCTGCTGCGCTGCGTTCAGGCTCAGTCAACTCCTTGT